CATAAGTAAATTAACTTAGGTAGTTGTCATTTTTAATTACATTAGCTTGGCCTACCCAAGAGTAACACGTTTTTCCAGTTATTTAGATCTGACTCAGTCCAGTAAGAATGAAAAAAATTAACCCATATGTTTGCCCTGAAACTTTAGATACAGGATGACCCCTGAGATTCCTTTGATATTCTAATCTAAATCTGAAATCTGGTGAGTAATTTGCTCAGTTTTTTTGGTCTGGATAGATTTCTCATCACATTCACTCAGCTCAGATAAATAGCTATGTACATAAGAAAATAAATATTCTTTCATCATTGAATAGGAACCAGTAGTTGTATTGCTGTCAAGATTTCTTAACCGGTTCTATTCTATCTCTGCTTTGCCTCAAAATTGTTTTCTTTTGCTGTTGCATATGGCCAATACTATTGTCATATCTGAAGAGTACTAGGCTATCCCAGCTATTATTTAAAATTATAATGATATCATATTGCTTGCCTTCTCAGTGGATGAGGGAGGGGCTGGTGGGAGAGAGAGAATTTAGAATTTATTTATTTATTTATTTTAATTTTTTTTAGTGAGGCAATCGGGGTTAAGTGACTTGCCCAAGGTCACACAGCTAGTATGTGTCAAGTGTTTTGGTTTGAGGCCGGATTTGAACTCAGGTCCTCCTGACTTCAGGGCCGGTGCTCTATCCACTGCGCCACCTAGCTGCCCCTGAGAATTTAGAATTAAAAATAAATAAAAGAAAGTTAAAAATAAATACATAAAAATTCTTTCTGAAAATCTATCACCAAGGCTCAGACTCCTTTCTGGCTAACTCCTGGGAGCCATACCGAGGGAGTATAGATAGATTTAAGGTCTTGGGGTCAAGAAGATATGTGTTCAAATCCTACCCCAGATATGTGCTAGCTATATGAGCCTGGGAAAGTCACTCATTTTCTCTGAGCCTCAGATTCCATAGTTGTAAAATAAAAATAAAGCCTCTATCTAAGGTTTGGTGTGAAGATAAAATTATATATATATATATATATATATACACACACACACATATATAAAATGTGTGTTGTGTATTAAAACCTAAAATTGCTATAAGAATGCAATTCCCGCCCAAGTATTCAGCCTTCTAACTCTACCACAGAGCATGCTCTCCTCCTACCCCTCAGCCAAAGATAAAAGGCCTTTGGAGGAGGGGAGGGGGGAGAAGGGGCATCTAAAATCACAGTCTCTTTTGACTAAATGCCATTTCCTAATAGTTGACTGTGGCAGGTTCCTGCTTTAACATCTCACAAAGCACTTTGATTTGTAATGCTCTAATGCACATATTGGGTGATATGGTATATGCCAATTATCTATATTTGTGTCTTAGCCCTTACTAAACTGTCAGCACCCAGAAGGCATAGACTATGCATTAACTAACCTTTGGATCTCCTTATGGCCTAGCATCGTGACTGGTACATAATATAATATAAACATTAGCTGTTATTGATTTGTTATTATTATTAAAAAGACAAAAATGGTCCAGTCCTTGCTCTTGAGGAGTTTATATTCTATTGCTCTTAATTCAAACATAAATTTCTGATAATAAGTATTTTTTTAATTAATCTGTCCTTCCCACTACAGCCTCCCCTCATTAAGCAAAATAAACATTAAAGAAATGCAAAAAGCAGATACCTCAATACATCTATCTACATAGTCTGGCAAAACAAATTCCTACATTAGTAATGTTTGAAAATGCAGGTCTCTTTCTGCATTTAAAATCCATTGCCTCTATCCCTGGCAGGAGGCAAGTATATTTTGTACACATAGATCCTTTACCTTTGTCAGCTTACATCCTAGTGTATCAAGTTTTAAAGGATAAAAATGTATTGGTGACTATCTTCTTTTCCCTGGAAAAAATCAGTCTGAGCATCCCCAAGAAGATCTAGCATAACTTATTTATAACATTTAAATTTTACACTAATCTATTTTGCTATCATCAGCAAAGATTGTAGGCAATTTTGTCCTGTTCAGAAAAGATTCACATCTTTTTTTTTTCCTTTGGCACTTGAAAATACATATTTTTAAAGAATATTGTCATACTGCTATTTTTAATATTATTCATTTTCTTTATATGGTCTTGCTTTTTAGTTCTGTATTCATTATCAAATCTCTGACTATCTGCCATGTGCACATATCTCAATGCAGTGTAGCAGGTGAGATTTGATTCCAAAATGCTGTAGAAGGAATGATGGAGCCTAAGAAGCCAGAATAGAGAGTCAGCAAAGAGAAAGTAAACCAAGCCAACCTATATAGAGGGAGAATATTTACAACAAGAGAGACAATCAGGGATGATGGGAATGTTAGAAGGGGGCACTGAGACTCATCCAGTGTGTTTTTATAGGGTACTTATCTGGGTCAAGCAAGACCAGATATCAGGGAGGGTTGGTGCTTCAAGCCTAGCGCACAAATCAAAGTCTAGAGTCTGGTGCTGATTATCTGGCAGGGAGGATATCTATATGTAGTTGATACACAAACTGTTCTGCCATTACTGCAGGCCTCGTTTGGGCTGATGGGAGATTTGAGCTCCTCCTGTGACTTTTTCATTTAGCAGGATGGGAAAGCCACTGAGGTGCTTCCACCATGTACCCTGGTAGGTTGTATTTTGAAACAAATGCATTTGGTTTTGTATTATTTAGCAAGGCTGTGTTCTCATTATTTACCAGGAGTACCTCAGAACACTATGCCAAAGAATGGTGGCAAAGTAGACAGAGCACCAGGACTGGAATCAGGAAGATCTAAGTTCAAATCTGGCCTCAGATAGTTATTAGTTGTGTGACTCTGGGCAAGTCACTCCACCTCTGTTTGCCTCAGTTTCCTAATCTGTAAAATTGGTATATAATAGCATCTACCTCCTAGGGTTGTTGTGAGGATCAAAGGAGATAATAATTGTAGAGTGTGCAGCACAGTGCCTGGCCCACAGTAAGCACTATATAAAAGTGTTAGCTATTATTAGTTACCTTTATATTTTTAATACATTTGCTCCAAAGCAAGGATATAATTGTGTTGGCAGAATCAGCTAAGACAAAAATGTAAAAGAATTCATATCTATAACTGCTAAAAACCGAGACTTGTTAAGAGTTCTTGAAGTAATACTGATAAAGCAGCCTGTAACATTTGTACTCAGGTCTAAACTACCACTTCTGTGAGGAAAATTGACTTTGTTTCTGGTCTTTCCAAAACTTGTAAAAAAATTCAATTACACTTCTTCAATTTGGCTAGTGGGCAAGTAAATGTTTTCAATGGAATGAGCATGGGGGTTGGAGTCATGAAGACCTTAATTTGAATCCTGTCTAAAATAACTAGTAGTTGTGTGACCCTAGACAAGTCACTTAACCTCTGACTCAGTTTTTTCATCTAATATCTACCTCATAGAGTTGTTGCGAAGATAAAATAACATAATAAATATGAAGCATTTTTCAGACCTTAAAGCATTCTATAAATGCTAGCTATTACTACAAATTCCTTTTTAACTCTTTATTGGTATTATACATTCTCTTCATTTTTAAGGATATCAATTATGCTGTTCTTCCAAAATTTGTGAAAAGTTATCAAGGAATATGGATAGATTGGTTCAATTGTTTGATTTACATTATTAAACAGTATGTATATTTAACTAGCTTTAACTTTCTTTTACATAATTTTCTTTTACATGATGTATTTGCAAGAAAAATATGATTAATAATGACTATCTTGTCATGCTATATTTAAGCTGCTATTTCAGGGAGTAAAACAATTTGCCTCACTAAAAGTTTCAAAGTTCACAGAAACTTTTAAAATTTCATAATCCATGATTTTTTTATATTGTTTCCCATTCAAATAGTTAAGTGCATATGCCATTCAGTTTTGGGCATGACTGACCTTTTTAGAAGTTCTAGAAAGAACAATGTGTATTTCATTAGTGCAATCTAAACATTGATGAAAGTCATTCTAAGAGTTGTTGGTTAACCTATTTCCCCCATTCTAGTTTCACAGAACACATTGGCAGGCCTTAGGAAACTTACTGTGTTCTCTATAGATAGTTTGTCACAGATCAAATTGAATTTTCTCATCTACTATGTTTAGCCTTCCTAGATTTATGTCAACACAATCTTTAACCTGTAAGTAAGAGAATTGGGCTTAAGCAAAAGAAAACAAAACAACAACAAAAAAAACTAGATGAACTTTGCAGAAATCCATTATATTAGTAAAGCCTTACTGCATAGGAGGACCTATTGTACAATTTAGTGATGGGAAGGGGCGGGGAACTGGACATAAAGATTTTTTTAAAAATCCTGGGTTCAAGTGTAAGCTCCACTGTTTATTTGAACAAGTCATTTAGTCCGTGTGAGTCTCACTTTTCTCATCCATAAAATTTGGAACTCGGACTATATAAATTCTAATGTCCCTTCCAGCTCCAACATTCTAAGATTTTATTCATCCATCTAGGGAAAGTAAAACTAGGTCACTGCATTTATTCATGAGATGAAGGAAAAATTCATAAATTAATCATTAAAATGTAAAATAACATAACCAATGTCATTCTTCTCAAAAAGAAAACAGTCTTTCCTCCTTTCCCCTCTCCATCCTACTCCATCTGTCTCTCTCTGTCTCAGTCTCTACGTTTTTCTTTCTCTCTCTCTCTCTCTATCTATCTATCTCTCTTTTCCCGCTCTCCCAACACTTCTTAATACAATCTATTCTACAGGATGGGCACTGAGTAAATGATGCTGACTAACATTTGTCACTGACACCATAGAATTTTGAAATAACATCTCTCATTATTCTGCTTGAAAGCCAAGCACCTTCTCTTATATACCTCTGAAGTTTTGTTCCCTCCTTTAACTCTCTTAACTTGCAGGAAACTCCTAGAAGAGGATTTCAAGGTTGGTGTTAGAAGATCACATTCATAGACAGTACACCTTCCTGCCTAGGTCATTTGTTAGTTCGCAGAAATAAAGCAGTCTCTTTTGTTATGTGCCTTTTCTATGCAGAAACTCAACGAGAGCAGCAGCTCATCTGAAGGCAGCACTGTAGACATCGGGCTTCCTGAAGAGGAACAGCCTGTAGCAGAACCTGAAGAAGCACTTGAACCTGAAGCCTGTTTCACTGAAGGTAAATGAGTCAACCATCTGTTCTATTGCACAAAAGAGAAAAAAAGAAAAGAAAAGAAAGGAACGGTGTGCATAGCAACCTGGGATATTTAAACAATGACAAATTAAGAAACAAACTATCCATCTGTCTACCTCCTCCCTCACAAAGCCATGAACTTAGTTATGTTGCAGGTAGAACAGCAATCCAATATTTATCAAGTGAAGCACACGGTGCTAGGTGCTGGGGGAAATACAAACTTTAGAGAAGACATGATCTTACCTTATCTCTGATGGATCCAGGAAAGGAAAAACACACAAACAATAAAATAAAGTGGGAATAGAAGCTTAAGCTGTTGTTTCCTTGATCTGCTTAGGGCCCTCCCAGAAAAGGAAACATCCTCTACCAGTGCAGATGGACACTTCCTCGATAACATACAGTCATAGAACAGGGAGTTCTTAACTTTTTTTGTGTGTCATGGACCCATTGGGTAATCGGGTGAAACCCTTTCTCTGAATAATTTTTAAATGCCTAAAATAAAATACATATAATTAAAAGGAAACAAATTAAACTGAAATGTGGTTATCAAAATATTTTTTAAAAACAAATTTATAAGACTCCAGGTTAAGTACTCCAGTTAGAGAGTTGCCCAGAGCATTGAGAGGTTAAATCACTTGCCCAGGGTTACTCACAAACAGAGGACTGGAACCTGGATCTTTCTGCCTCAGAGGCCATATGTCTATCCTATATCATACTGTGTCTCATATAATGATGAGCATCTCATAAAAATGATAGTATACAATAATATGCGACATTATAATGTAAATTTATATTACCTGAATTCAGTAAGCCTCTATTAAGCACCTAATATATTCCAGGTACTATACTGGGCACTAAGTTTATAAAAACAAAAACTAAAGAGCCCTTTCCCTCAAAGGGCTCACATTCTACTGTAGAAAACACCACACAACAATAAGTAAGTGAGAAATATATACAAAGTAAATGGGAAATAATTTGGAGGGGGAGAGAAAAATGCTAATAATTATGGAGGATGTCAGGAAAGGCATCCTGTAGAATATGACACAAAGGGAGTATTAAATGAGGCTAGGTATTCCTACAAGCAAAGGGGAGGAAGGAAAGCATTTGAGGATAATGAACAGAGTGTTTAAAGGCCCAGACATAGGAGATGGAATGTCATGTGTAGGAAACTGAAAGTAGGCCAGTGATTTGGAGTAAAAGAAAAAGGGAGGGGAATACGGTGGAATAAGACTGGAAAGAGTGGGTCTAGCCTGATTATGAAGGGCTTCATATGCCAAAAAGAGAAGTTCACGTTTGATCCCAAGCTACAACAGTCCTAGGTGATGCCAGAAGGAGAGATGGTTAACTACAGATATTATCATATTATATGGAGCAATTTCCCTTTGATTCGGGTTTTAAAAGATAGCTAGGAATTTAGTAGAGAGAGGGAGGATTTAGGCATGTGAAATAACATGAACAAAGGAATAGAGGCAAGATGACCCAAGAAATGCTTGAGGGACAGAGTAGCCCAGTTGTCCGGAGTATAGAATAATATGAACTGAGTGAATTAGATTGATGCATAAGGAAGACGAATATGGTAGTCATATGAAAGCCAAATTGAAGAGAGAAGAGTGGAAAGGCAGATAGACCCATTAGAACACTTGCAATAATTAGAGCTGCTATCATGTAGCTAAGGGAAGTAAAAAGCACTGGGAGGAGGTAATGAGGACCTACACTATGGTAATGGGAGTAGAAAGGAGGCAATGGATGTGAGAAGTATTATAAAGTTACAATTAGCGTACAGGAATTGGTAACAGCTCAGCTGTGAGAGGAGAGGGAGAGGGAAGAGTTGAAGATAACACCAATGTGGCAAACATAAAAGATTAAGTGCATGAGTGGTGGTACCATTGCAGATGGAGTAATGTCAGAAGGAAGAACAGATTAAAAAGATAAAAAAGGTAGTTATGGACTTGTTGAGTTTGAGACACCAGTGGGACGAATGTGAAGCAGAGGTATATATATTTGGGCAAACAAAAAGGGAAAAACACCATTTGCAAGTGCATTCAAAAGTATTTGCCACAGTATTGTATCTCAGAATACATCCTGCTGATCTTGTTGAAGGTCAATCAAATTGACATCTGTCTATCACTACAATTAAGGTAGTTCCTGCCTTAATTATAAGTGCTTAGAAGGAAACTATCAATAAATGAACATTTATTAAGCATCTACTATGTGCCAGTCATTATGTTAAATGCTGGACCAAGTATTAAGCAAACATGTTCTTTTGTTTTTTTCCAGTTAGGCAGTGGGATTAAGTGATTTGCCCAGGGTCTCACAGCTAGTAAGTGTTGTGTGTCTGAGGCCAGATTTGAACTCAGGTCCTCCTGAATCCAGGGCCAGTGCTCTATCCACTGCGCCACCTAGCTTCCCCTAAACATGTTCTCTTAAAGCAAACAAAACATATATTTGATTTAATGTGTTTCCTTAAAAAAATTTTAAAGAAGAGCTTTAGCATGGCACTTTGAAGACAAGTCTAAATTCTCATTTACAGAATCTGCTTTATAGGCACTTGACTATGCATTAAAGCTGGGTACATGTACTAATCCCATGTACATGGGATGTACTACCTCATTTAAATAAGAGTGCAAGAAAGCAACAGAAGAATATCAGGTAGGTGACACAGTGGATAGAGCACTGTATTAGGAGTCAGGAAGACCTGAATTTGAATCCTACCTCAGATATTTAGTAAATGTGTGACCCTGGGCAAATCACTTCAACTCTCTCTGCCTTAGTTTTCTCATCTGTTAAATGGGGGCAATAGCACTTGCCTCACGTAGTTGTTGTGAGGATCAAGTGAAATAATATTTAAAGCACTTGTAAAACTAGAAGCCCTCTATAAATGTTAACTGTTGTTATTATTCAACTTTTTACGTCCTTATTCCCTGCTCCCCCCCATTACACTTCATATCCCCAGGATGTCTAGTAGGTAGTAGTATGCCTTTATATGTATTATATGCTCAGTAAATATTTCATTGACTTAATTTTTATATAATATCAAAACAAACAAGAAGAAATAAGGAGGGGTTACTGACAAATGTGGGCAGTGCCAGGGCCAATCATATTTTCTGAACCATGCAATTTTGGAAAATCATTTATGACGTTGCCCTAAATTCTCCTAAGGAAAACCCAAGTAGCAGAAAGAGCACTAGCTTCAGAGTCACGATACCTGGGTTCAAATCTTTTCTCTGCTCCTTCCTACCTGTGTTTTAAAGTCACTTCTCTCTGTTCTTCTGTTCCCTCATCTCTGAAAATGAGGTTGGACAAGATGTCTCCTCCAGTCCCCTACAGCTCTAAGGCCATGTTCCTAATGTGTCAGGAGAGGATGACTTTATTATTCTAAGTTTCTCTTGGTAACTTGCTTTTGATAATTTGCTTTTATTACTTCACAGGTCAAATGCCATGGGCTTTATGGTAAGGTTGAAAGTGCAAACATAATTACATCCCAGAAAGTTAAGAGAAGTTAATGTTAGTTAAATGATTAAGAAGGAAAGTATCAAAATTATTTACTTTGCCATGAGATGTTTCAGTTCTACATGTTTGAATTTATTCCCTACAGGCTGTGTACGAAGGTTCAAATGCTGTCAAGTCAGTGTGGAAGAAGGCAGAGGAAAACAGTGGTGGAACCTGAGAAAAACCTGTTTCAGGATAGTTGAACATAACTGGTTTGAGACTTTCATTGTTTTCATGATTCTCCTCAGTAGTGGTGCTCTGGTGAGTGAAACATCAAGCTAAATTATTTCATGCAAAAGAAATTTCCCAGAATTTTCAAATTAGAAATTTGTTTCCAAAATAATTTCACACCCAACCATAATTCATATCTTCTGTACTATAAACTTATGGCCTACAAATCCATTTCTGGACTTACATTTCCCACATCTGCTCTTTAAATGAACTAATTCTTTATTTCTGTGGTCTTTAAGTAGTTAAACCTGAAAATTTAGCCCTAAAATGTCTTCACATTCACCCAGTGGATATAAACGATTAGTTTTTCTCCTACTTTGTTAGGCAAATAAACAAAGCTGTGACATCATAATAGTATATGTAATAATATGTACATTATGAAAGGTCGTAGGCTCAAGAATATATTAAGAGTTGCGCTCTTCTGTTTTTGGACAATTTAAGAGATAGCGTCTTTAAATCCTTAGGGACCATTTCTCAATGTATTTAGTATTGTGTTCAGTATTCTCCTGCTGCTCAGGAAATAATAAGTGTTGATGATAATAAACAATGGGCAACATGCCTAAATAACTCATTAAAAGATTTATTTCCCTTTAATATGAAAGTCTTTCACTCTTATCAAAGTCAATCAACAGTTTGAGTGAATTAGGCTTTTTCTCCCTAAGAAATTCAAGGTACAGTATTACAGAAAACATTAGGGGAAAAAAGGACCACTAAATAAAGATGGAATGATTTTAGTTTCTTGATCTATAAATTAAAGGAGTTGGATTAGATGATCTCTAAGATGACTTGAAGTTCTAAATCCTATGATCCTGTGAACAACATCTAAAAATTCTGCAGTGAATAGAGCACTGGTCCTGGATTTAGGAGGACCTGAGTTCAAATCCAGCCTCAGACACATAACACTTACTAGCTGTGTGACCCTGGGCAAGTCACTTAACCCCATTGCCTAGCCAAAAAAAAAAAAAAGGCAAAAGAAAAAGAAAAAAAAAAGAAATTAAAAAAAAAATAAAATGTGGTTCTGTTTCAATGAGGCCCAGCAAAAACAGCCCATAGAGTTACATGGACATTTTCTCCTTTTTAATCTGATAGTTGTGATAGAGGGCTATGATTTAAGGACTTCAATATGACTGCATTTCTTCACATTGAATGTAATCCTATCTGAAAGTCTTATCTCTAGGGTTCCATCTTCTACCAGTGACTGAAATAAAATTACTCCTATCTAGAAAACATGAAGGGGAGGTTCCCAGAAACAGAAACTATACTAAGGATTGCAGATGATTTATAATTCCAATTCATCATGGCAAGTCATGCATTCATCTCTACTGAGGCATAAAAACTATCAAATACACTAAATGAGTAAAAAAAGGCTAGGTCAAGTCGATATTTAGCAAAGGTAAATGAGGGAGGATGAGTCACAAATATTACTTTATGAGGACATGAATTATAGGATATTCATTTCCTTTTACTTTTTCTATTTACCTTATGGTAGTACTAATAAGCAGTAAAATGGCCAAGAGATGGGTAGCAAAAGGGAGAAAAATGATAATTCTCCAACTTTAAACCTGGATAGCTGAGCTCTGATTTCACCTCTATTTTTAATTAATTGGTAGCAGCCAATCAAAACTTGAAATTAGAGTAATCTCTCAAATACAGCTGTTAGTTACAAATTGATTCAGTAAAAGCCTACCTTTATCTTCTTATTTTTTGGCTTCCCCAGTAATAAGCACACTTCACCCAAAATATTTAATGCTGGACATCAGCAGGCCTTTGGAAAGAAAAGAACAGTAACCGGCATTAGCAAGCAGCCTTCCTACATCCCATCTGTTAGTGGCGTAAATGGAGGCCAAGAAGTAATCCGAAGGGAGAAATCATTTTTATTTATATAAAACGTTATAGACCCTATGCTCTAAGCTATATGATACCATATAATGCCATCCTATATCATACCATACCCTATCCCACCCCAACCCACCCTATCTCACTCTACCCTAGTCTACCCTACCTTAATTTGCCTCATCCTACCCTACCCTACTTTAACCTGCCATACTATAGCATACTGTATCATATCATTCCATATCATACTATACTATACCATATGATACCATATGGGTAACTAGGTGGTGCAGTGGATAAAATGCTGGGCCTGGACTCAAGGAGACTCATTTTCCTGAGTTCAAATCTGGCCTCAGACACTTAATAGCTGTGTGACCCTGGGTAAAATCACTTAGCCCTGTTTGCCTCAGTTTCCTCATCTGTAAAATGAGCTGGTGAAGGAAATGGCAAACCATTCCAGTATCTTTGCCAAGAAAGCCCAAATGGGGTCATGAAGAGTTGGACACGACTGAACAAAATGATACTTTATTGTACTATACCATATCATGCTATAATATATATGTACATATGAATGTATGTATATATGAATGTATGTATGTATACACACACACACACACACACACACACACACAGACTAGAGATAGTGGATAGTGGAATTGACTAGAAGGTAGAAAGATTTAGATTCAAATCCTAACTGAGACGCTATCTGTATGACCCTGAGCAAATCCTATAATCTCTCAGGGAAAACCAAACCTCAATTTCCCCATCTATAAAATGGTATTAATAATAGCTCCTTCCTTACAGAGGCATAGTAAGTATCAAATAAGCTAATGTATAAAAAGTGCTTTACAGATTTTGAAATGCTTTATCAACACAAGCCATTATTAGTGGGGTTTTTTATCTTTATCCTAGCCATTCAATCTAGCTTACAGATCATAACATGCTATGAATACCAAATTGTATGCTTCTTTTTTTTACAGGCATTTGAAGACATTTATATCGAACAGCGAAAGACTATTAAAATCATGTTGGAATATGCTGACAAAGTTTTCACTTACATCTTCATTCTAGAAATGCTTCTAAAGTGGGTGGCATATGGCTACCAAACTTATTTCACTAATGCCTGGTGTTGGTTAGACTTCTTGATTGTTGATGTAAGTATTCTGTGTATTTATCTTTTTATCTATAGAGTTTATAGTTGGGCTTCGCAAAAATCTTATTTTTTTTAATTTTTTAATAAATGTTGGAATACTTTATGTCAACTGGCTGAGGACAAGCCTAACCTAACCTAATCCTTAGATAGAGAGACTTGGGTGTCACAGCAGCTCTCAAAATAACATCTTCCAAATCATAGAGAGAACATTGACTGTTGGTGTAAGAAATATTCACACCATCAGTTTGCCCATCAGTAAAATGAGAATAATATTTATGCTACCCCCCCTCCTTAGAGTTGTTGTGATTGGAATGGTCCTTTGTTTATTGTCCTTCATAATCAAAGAAGACCAAAACGACATCACAATGTTGGGGTTAGAATGCTATGCAGAACTTGAAGCACTATAAAAATGTGACCTGTATAATTAAAAGGCAAAGTAAACAAGAACATAGGGGCAAAGTTTTATCTATTCCTTTATTTAAATGAAAGAGATTTTGAAAATGAAAAGGAATATATATATATACATATATAAACTTCCACCCGACTCAGAAAACTTTGTATTTTGGCTTCTCACTCATTAATACGGAAGAATTTGAAGTAGATTTTTGTTAGGATGCCTTTATAATACACTGTTAGAGTCTCCATAGGTTGACATGAAATGCCAAACACAAAGGTACGATCAAGAATTTAGCCTCTTAGAAGCCTGGGCTAAATATGCAGATTTGCATCTACTGATGAATGAATGCAGTATTCCTGTAATTTCAGTTGAAGTATCAGGCCTTGTATTTTGCCAGTGGGCCACAATCAAGTTGACGAAATTGAAGAAATAAGGAACAGAACGGCAGCTACCTTTTTAAAAAAAATTACAAAATTATAGCTTTCACTTATATTAAAAATTTTTTCACTTGTTTCTTTTACATAGGTGACTTCCTCTACCAGGAAATGTCAGTGGACTAGTCTATAAGATGCATGACATATCAAGCATTAATTAATTGGTTTCCTTTACCAAGTATCAATGAATTCCTTTTTCTTAAAGAAAAAGTTATTTTCTTTAATGGCTTCCTGAAAATATTCCATAATGTTTTTTTTCTTTTTTAGAAGCCAATACTCATATTATCATGTATATGTGCAAAAATCATTCTATATTAAAAGAAATACATTGCTTTTCTCTTTTGTACAGGTCTCTTTGGTTAGTTTAACAGCAAATGCCTTGGGTTACTCAGAACTTGGTGCCATTAAATCCCTCAGAACACTAAGAGCTCTGAGACCTCTTAGAGCCCTATCAAGATTTGAGGGAATGAGGGTAAGACAAATGAAGGAAACTAGGGTAATGCATGCAATAGAAAGAGCTCCTGCATGCAAAAGGAATGGCAAATCTTTGCAGAAATGCTACATTCTTCCTCTTATCTGTTGCATATTTACCATTAAGAGATATGCAAAAGACTGGACTTTCCTGGTATTAATAGTGATCACATATCACTGGGCTCATCCAAATTGCTTTACCCACATCCTAGTTAATGTCAAGAGTTTTTTATTAGCCAATATAAATAAGAAGAGTGTTATACTTGATATTTTAGTTACTTATCCAGCCCTAGTAGTGAATTAAAGAGAATTCTAAACCATGTGCTTCTTTCTGGTCAATGATCAATAAACTGGCTTTATTTGCATAATATCTGAACTGGAGGAAATGTAAAATACGTCATTAGGGTGTTGTTTTAGGGTTTTTTTTCTTCTTCTATGATCTCAAATAAGAGACAGAGTAATGTAGTGGTTAGGAAACCAGCATCAAATTCAAGAAGATCTGTGTTCAAGCCCTGCCTCTGTCACATAGTGGCTCCATGAACCTGGCAAGTCACTTGACCTCTCAGTACCTAAGCAACACACTAAGACAATAAGTGACTGAATAATTGAAGATCTGCAGTAGTAGAGGGAGTTTCCTCACCTGGTACTTCCTACATCAAAGTAATCATGGCTGTAGACCAAAAATTTTAAAAAGCAAAAACCAAAGCAATTGATGATTGGAAATGACCAGGTGTTAACATGGCTAGGCTTAAATATTAGCAGGGATTTTTTTTAACTTTTTCTGTTGGATGCTTTGATGTTGGCTACAGCTTGTTTCCAACAGAAATATTATGATTCATAAAAAAAAAATCTAAAACTTATATCCCTTTTGGAAGCATCCATATTTTGCTTTCATAAACATTTTTTAAAAAATATGTCTTATTCTTTCATCAGCAAATAACAATAAAATACTTTGGATAGTATTTTTTTTTAATTTGTCACTAATGGTGGCTCTTCAATAACCCAAACTTACATTCTCATTTACCAAACATCATATAAGTAAACTGTGATTTTCTTTTACATTCTTTTTGGAGACTCTTTGTCCAGGACCCCGGTCAGAAAAAAAAAACTATCATATTTTTACTTGTGTGTGTTCCTATACTCCTTTCATTTATTATAAAGGTGTAGTCTTTTAAAGAGTTTTTATGGTGTTGTAAAAATCTGTTCCACTTTAAGAAAATTAAACTTACAATTCCATAAAGCACAGTTGGTGAAATAGATTGCTTTCCTACAGACCAACTTCTCTGCGCTCTAAGACTTAATATTTTAAAAACTTACAGTAATTTTAGATTTCAATTTGTATTTAATTAATAGTTTAGAATATGACTCTTAAAGTCTCTTCAAAAGTTAATCAAATAATATTATAAATTCTAGCTGATTAGATTTAAAAATGTGGGGTTTATCTTATATTCATGATTCATGTAAACTCATGAACTAATTTAGGGAGATCAGGAAGATATTAGCTTTTGAGCACAATATAGATAATAGTAATGTCTGACTTTCCTACAGAGCTAATCATATTTTCATAAAGAAATTCATACAGGAAATTCTGACATTAACTTGTGTTAATCCATGAAAAACAATTGACATTATTTATACTTATTTTTTGTGGATTGACCATTTCTTTTTGTTCTAAAGATATATATGCCACTGGGAAAAATTTTAATTTTGAATCTGAATTTTGTACAACACTACAAATTTGAAACTGTCATATCTTAGATTTTCTATGATTCAATCATTTTGTTTAAAACTTCAAATCATTTATAAGCTCATGAGTTAAATGTCTCTCTTTTATTATGATATCATTGCTAATAATATACATGTTTAGATATTCACAGAAAGTGACTCAGAATTCTATTTTATTTTTAAAACACTATCTTTAATCTTGACCTACTTGGTAGAGTTAAAATTGAGGTAAGGAAAACCTAGATTGAAATCCTGCCTCAGGCACTTACTAGCTGAGGGATCCTGGGCAATTCTTTTAACTTCTATGTGCCTCTCTAGGATTTATCTGCTATACTAGATTGCTGCTGACCTGTTTCTAGGGAGGTATTGCCCATATTAAGATAACCATAAATCTGTAGGGTATCTTTGGTTGTAATATTTTCTTTACTATTATTCATCAATAAAGAACTCTCTAAAATACATCTGCTTTTAATGGTTTTATGCTTTTAACTAATGGAAATTAAAAAGTAAGCTCTTAGTAGCCTCTGGTAGGAAAAGTAAAGAAATTATTTAGTTTCAATAAATTAGTCAGACATATATGTAGTCTCATCTTGCAACAGGATCTTCACACCACTAAAACGTACATCCACTTCAGCCCAACACCAGTTGGCATTGTCAATTGACTGAGGTTTTTTCTTTTCAACCATTTGCAATTGTTTTCACTGTGGAGACCCAGATAGAGACGATGATGATTGATGATTCTACCCAGAAACTGAGCTTTGAATATATTCAGATACTTTCTTTTTAATCCTAATTCTTATAGCACAAAACTTGAGTAGCTGCAAAATTGTATGCTAAGCATAAAAAAGCAGCTTTTTTTGTTTGCTTGCTGAATTACACTTCAGGTCATTTCAAAGCATGTGCTTATATGTAACATCATTGAATAAAGCATGTTTTACAGTGCTTGACAAGGAGGCATAAAGTGATCTATCAATTATCATCATACTGGCACTTTTAGTTTTGCATGATTGACGCACATTTCTGGCTGACAGCTTTATACATTTATTGTATTTCAAATTTCCAGTCCAAATTCTTTAACATGTAAAATTAAACTGAGAGAATTGATGTCTTTAAATATCTATAGTACCATTAAATTTGTATTTCTTTAATTTCCTAATCTAAGAAATCTGTTAAGATAAATGCCTTATTTTTCAAAAGTACTCTAGACTTCATTAATAGGGAAACTGACAGCATCATATACAACAACTAACACCAAATGTTCTGTCATATCAGGTTCCTAATAACAAACTATATATTTCTATTTTATATAGGATAATCTTTCTCCAACTTGGATGGGGTGGAGCGCTGGTTCCTCCCCTCAACCCTTTATAATGGGTACTGTATTTCCCCTTTTGCTACCTTTAATCCTTTCACTGTGACTAGTTAATGTGCAGTGGGGTGGGAGGGAGTGGAGAGGTTAATTTGAGTGTCACAGTAGGACATCATAGTTAGACTTTCCATTCCAATTCCCCTTTTCAATTGGTTTACATTTTCTCCAAAACTTGCCTTTGGGGCCTGAATTTGGTCTGTGTGATCCCTAGCCCCAGCTATCAATTTATTTGGAAAAGTTCATTAACATTGATTTAATCATTTACAAATTAAGTAATCCACACTTGGAGAAAACGTGTTCAGTTGCCTTTTGGGGGTTGGGGGAACCCTTGGGCAATTCACATAGAATGGCTGTTTTAAAACCTCAAACTTGTCATGAAAGGACGATCTTTCCTTCTTAGAAAGTTGAAGTCATGGAAATTGCAAACTCAGAAAAATATGCAGTAGATTTCTTGTCCTGCTTATTTGAGCAGACACAGGTGTCCAGTGTGCTAGGCTTCATAGGAATGGATATTGATTGTGTAACCATTCTCATTCTTTGTTAAATGTATGTTTATTAGAGATTCTTTTCAAAATATAAATGTAAAAAAATAAAAAAGTGATCAGTGAATTTATGAGGTTAGTGTTTTAAGAAAATGAAAAAACACATTAAATCATAAAAACCTCCACTCTTTTGGGTCCACACGTATATTCCCACCCTACAGTTTTAAGTCTTTAAATATCTTTTTTGTTGTCAACTGGGCAGAAATAAGATTTCCTTTCTTGAATGAAACTAGAGTCTTGACAGTCTTGGTAGGTTTTAGACAAGAAATTATTTCTTCTGATTAGAGAGAGATATGTCATTACTGATTGACTTTCTAGTCTTTAGAAGGCATATGTAAATGAGTATATACAATTATATATATATATGTAAATCAAAATATTAATAGCAAAAGAATCTAAATTTAATTTAATCTTGAAATAGAAAAGCACTAATCAAGAAATATAGTTTATGTTTTTAAGGGGGAGGGTTGGATTTTAATTATGAGCAACATCATTGCATGAAAAAAAGAAGACTGCCACTCTGCTCCAGACCCTTTACCAAGTGATCTCTTTTTTAAAATACCATATTTCATAAAAATTGTCAACCCAACATTTAATGTCCTCAGTTTGGTGTCTTTTGATTTTGATCTGTGGCACTGGTTGATTCAGTACTTCCTCTCTTTTGAAATTACAGAATTATTTTGTTTAATTAGGCAATTGGGGTTAAGTGACTTGCCCAGGGTCACACAGCTAGTAAGTGTTAAGTGTTTGGTCTGCGGCCGGATTTGAACTCAGGTCCTCCTGACTTCAGGGCCAGTGCTCTATCCACTGCGCCACTTAGCTGCCCCTGAAATTACAGAATTATTGAAACCCATGAATGGAATTGAGTTTAAGTTTAGAAACCATTTATTCAGGCAAAAGGGCCAGGTAATCTTTAGAGTAGGATCACTGTCAATATCTATTTGTTTCTTTAGTCATTTTATGTTGAAGTTAATGATTGAATGATTTTAAAATGCAGTATATTGGGAAGTATTCTAAAATGGGAATCAAGAAGCATAGATTTTAGTACAGCTCTTCTATTCATTTGGTTTACTATCCTGGTCAAGTCATTCTATCTCTCTTTCCTCATCAATAAAAGGAAGAGATTCAACTAGATGGTCTATAAAGTCCTTCTGACCCTAAGGTGTCATGATTATAGGGCTTTAATTATGCCACTTATGTAAATTAGGCAGAAATATTTATTTTAAAGGGATCAGAAAATTCAAAGTTTTTTCCATCTTCTGTATTGGTTTCAAGTCACTGAGCAATCTAGAATGTGCCACTATGATGGGGAAGGGGAGAGAAATGGCACCAAAATTACATATGTAAGAGTAAGGCTATATACTT